CTGAAAAACAATTGCCTTGAAACCTGCAAGGACTCATTCAAGCAGTCACTGCAGGGTCAGCAATGACTGAGCGCAGACAAAAAAAAAAAAAAGATTAAATTGTCAACAAAATATTCTCATTTTATTGAACAACCCAGATAATGTTTAAAAAGGGCTAGCTATTAATTTAATTAATGTGAGACTTCTTTCCTTATTGTCTAGATTGGTAACAGTTAGTCCAGAAACATGAATCTAAGTTCTATTAGTATTTATTAGAAGGAAGGTAGCACAAGATTTCCAGTGAATGCTCTAATTTCAAGAGACACCTATATATATACAGACAGTCTCTGGCAGCAAAATACATTTTCTCCTGGGTTTTTTTGATGCAGGGAAAGGAGGCCTACCTCTTTTGTGAAGGTGTAGCAGTCTGCATTTGCTTTGGTAACTGCTATTCCTATATCAGTATGGGAAACAACCTTCACAATTATGCTAGAAGTAGGAAATGGATGAGGGGATATTTATATGACATGAGCTTGTCCTTTTTAATGCCCCATTTTGGTATTATATTTATATGTTTGTTCACATGGTGGTACAAAAATCAAAACAGTTTAAAGATGTAAATGAACTTTTCAATTATATCTATATATATGAAGTATAGAACATAGACTTATCGAACGTGGGGAAAGGGGCAGCAAAAAAAAAAATCACAGTTCAATGCTGAAAAGATAGAACTACCCCAGATTTACAGTCTTTCATTAGAGATATGTGTTCACTTTCTGTTCATGAACTAGCTTTTTATTAACATAGAAAAACAAATGAATATTATTTTGTGTGGTCAAAGTTTAATGATTTGTCTAAAAACTAGGCTGGATGATTTCCTGTAGGCAACATTATATGTTTTGTTGTTTCTTTTTCTTTTTCTTTTTCTTTCTCTTTGTTTTTGAGTTGTTGTTTAATATTAAAGCAAAAATTAAAGTTCAGTGTATCTAAATCACATAAGGATCCTTTGTTTTGATCAATATTTCTACTTAGGTTGTGTTTTCCCCCACCATGAGGGAAAAATACAGGTACTTCTGTTGTCTTCTTCCATATTAACAGCAGGTTTTACGTTAGACCAGAAAAACAGGATATCATGGAAAAGTTTAAGTAAGGGTAGCAGAGCTATGCTGCAAAAATCCAGACAGTTATTAGATGTCACCAAAGAGCTACAGGGAACAATATTGTTACATTCCAGATCTGGTAGCTCTAGTTTAAGCTCTCTCCCAGTCCTGCTAGTCTGATCAAATTCAGAACCTATCCCACCCTATGTAGCTGCGTCACAGTAAAAAAAAAAAAAAGCAAAAAAAAAAGCCAGAAGACAGTCACAGATTTCCAACATCAAATGAAGACTGATCCTTAAATAAATTTAGCACAGATGATATCTTTACTATTGGAAACAAGTTTTATAAATCATTATTCTGCATCTTCATTGTTTATATATGCTCCACGCTTAAATCTTTTACCTAACAATATTGTGGCTCAACCTAATGCATATTTATCTGGAAAGAAACCTTACAAGATTCAATGACATTTCTTCACAAATAAGAATTTCTGGAGAGGCACATCCTCTTACCAAAGAACTTCTACAGAAAGGTAGAAGAAAGCTTCCTTTCCTTCTACAGAAAGGAAGCTGTCAAAACAAGAAGGTTTTCAAGTCTACCAGGTCATTCCACTGCTGCTGACTTGAAAGTTGCTATTCTCCAACCGAGGAATTTCATTGAAAGGCTACCCTGCAAAAGTGTTGGGTTAGAATTTAGTAAATAATGTTGTTTTTTTCTGTAAGGAGGGACTCCTTGGTGATCTGGCAGTCTGATTTCATTCACTTTTATACAGCAATATCTTTGTGAGCTTTACATTTTTTCTTCTATACTTACTTGTACAGTGTGTATGTGTGTGTGTGTGTTGTGTGTGTGTGTGTGCATTATGTGTATGTGTGTGTGTAGTTCTGTCAACTGAGGATAATACTTCATGAATCAGATAAGCTGGAATTTAGCCTAAAAAAGCTAGCGCCAAATGCCACAGACTTTTCTGTTTTTTTCCAGGCAAGCATGCATAGACATACAGTCTTTAATCATGCAAACTTGGATCCAAACAATTATTTTTTCCAGCCTCTGTTTTTGCTGTGAACACTTCATTCTTATTGCAGCAAAGTTACTAAAAGAATCCTGTTTTCTAAGTTTGACTATAAATGGTGTCATCTGAAATTAAACAAGAAGCCATAAACATGTTCCTGTCTCTTGGCAACGAAATCGTTTGCTGCCATCCTCTGGACGAATTATGCATTACAATGTTTTTAAAAATCTAGTACTACTGTAATCTTTAAACAAAGGAGTCCTGATGCACTGTTAAGGTAACTATATTTCATAATGTTAGGAAATAAAATGTTAATGAATTTTTAGAAATATGAGGTCTCACATTCTGGGTTATTAAATATTACAGCCCAGTTAAATTTTAGAAAACTAAAGGAAAATGTTGGATAGTCAATTAAAAAGAATCAAAAGTGGAGGAGAAAATGTGATGCCAAATCAATGTTCAGTGACTGACAGTTGAACAACAACAACAACAACAACAACAAGGCCTAATTTCACTGCATTGATGGGAAACTTCAGTCAGCTGAAGGTGACTGTTCAGGAAAAGCATCCTGGGGATGTCCTGGTTGCTGCAAAAATAGGAGATAGCAGAAAAGAACTCCAGGTACATAATTTGCCTACAACCCCTTCCTCAGGGACTCTTGTTTTCATCTCAGAGAGTGGCTGCAGGAAACCTTGAAAAAGGTTTTGCATGTATTTTCTATTACTTTCCTATTATCTGAGTAAATAGAAGATTAATCCTAGGAAAGAAAGCAATGGCAAACTTATACAAGATCATGAAAGATAAGGATATTTCAGTACCAAAAATCAGAATTGAAGCCATGTTTTTCCACTGGTAATGTAGGATTGTTGAAAGCTGTATGAGAAAGAGCACGAAAAAGCACACCTTTAAATTAGATATTTGGAAACAGTAACCGAGAGATCAATGGATTGTAAGAATAACCAAGCATTGCTGATTCGAAAACAAGACTGGTCCATTCAGCATATGTGTTGTGAGCAGAATTTGGCCTAGGAAAAAAAGGTTGACAAAAGCAGAAGGGAAAGACGACAGACAATGAGTAGATGGGTGCAATGAAATTAATGTAGTGTTATTAGAGGAGCTAGGAGGTGTTACTGAGAATGAGTTGGAAGGATGACAGGCGTTGGTCTTATAGTCACCATGAGCTGAGCCTGATTCAATGACAGCTTACCTATTTATTTTCATCACTATTGTACAGGGCAGACATTTTCAAAAGTGCACACAGAAACACAGAAAGGAAATGGGACATTAATGTAAACATGCAATGATGATGGGATTCCAGACTGATTTTTCTGAAATTAAGGACTGGCTTCTATGGCACAGAACACAAGACTGAAGAGCATCTTAAAACAGAACCATTATTCAGGAAAATGTAGAATTTGGGGAAGAAATTAAGTTTATTAATGGCTTCCAAAGACCTTGACTCCATACAACCGGGCAAGGAAGAGGTGCAAATATGTACCACGGATCATCAATTGAACAGTTAAAATTTGAACTATCATTTTCACTAAAACCTAAAATCTTCATCCATTTGTATGTTCAACTTCTCCATTTCAGTAGAGACAGGAAGTCCTCCATTGTTTCTAACCTCCATGCTATTTTAATAAAGCAGAGGCGTGGGGGGCGGGGGAGGCTTTATTTCGTCACAGGTTGACATACTGTATTCCCCCCCCCCCCAGTGCCCAAACCTACCTGTCGATAAAACCCTATGCGGAAACGGAGGCGTGGTTTAGTTGCCACAGCAACTGTGCCATTGGTCTGTGCTGTCAGCAGCCGCGTGCCGGAGGTTGCTAGGTTACCTCTATGGCGGGGAGGCCTACCCGGCCTGAGGCCGCCTTTGCCGTTTCATACACCTGCAGCCGGGGCAGGAGAAAGATCGGAGTGGGTGCTGCTCAGCCCTCTCAACCGAGACGCGAAAGAACCTTCCTGCGACGCGAGGTAAGGGCATGGGATGGAGGCGAAAGTCGGGCGAGGCGGGTACTATCCCCAGCGACTCAGGCGCTGGAAGGGCAGACCTTTGGCAGGGAGGGGAGCTTAGTGGAAAGGTTCGCCGGAGGCCGCCGCCTGTGGGAGCCCCGCGGTGGCTCCTTCCCGGGGAGAC